TATGGGAACTAACCAGATACAACGGTCCTCATACGTGTTGTGCAAGAGGTATAAACCAAGATCATCCCAACTTGGACTCCAACATTATTTGCCAATCAATCATGTCCATTGTGAAGCAAATCTCTCATATAGCTGTTGCAGTGTTGATTTCTGCTATACAGTCACAATATAGGTACACCGTCTCCTATAAAAAAACTTGGTTGGCAAAACATAATGCCATTTGCAAACTTCATGGCGAATGAGATTCCTCTTACAACGAGCTACCCAGTTGGTTTCATGTTGTGCAAAGACTCAATCCTGGGACAATTGTTGAGTTTGAAACTCAACATCATTACGTGAATGATCGAGTGGTTTGTGATCGCAGCCAATTCTACCGTGTCTTTTGGACTTACCCTCAGTGTATTAATACAGTCAAGTATTGTAAACCAGTTGTCCAAATTGATGGTACTTTCTTATATGGGAAATACAAGCAAGTTTTATTATTGGTTGTGGTCCAAGATGGAAACCGCAATATTCTTCCTGTTGTGTTTGCCCTCGTTCAAGGAGAAGACACTGAGTCCTGAGCTTTTTTCCTTAAAAATTTACGTTTATATGTTGTGACCAGGGAACTTGTATACATTATTTCAGACCTAGGAGTCGGGATAAAAGCAACAATGGAGTCTTTGGGTACAATGTATAGACCTCCACATGTTCAACATCGTTATTGTGTCTGTCATATTGCTGCAAACTATTACGGAAAATACAAGAAGAATGATGAACGTCAGTTAGTCGTGCGGATGGGTATGTTACTTTTTCCCAATTTTTCTATCATTTTCGTATTACTTATTTATACTTCATATTAACTATTACATATTCCTAATGGCTTAGGTTACGAACTTTTACCTCAAAGGTTTGAGTCTATGCTACAAGAGTTGTTTGGCAAAAATAAGAAGGGGTGCGGGTACATTATGGGCATCAGCAAAGAAATGTGGACAAATACGTATGACGGGGGGTATCGCTATGGTCATATGACAACAATCTTGGCTGAATGAATAAATTCAACCTTAAAGGGGGCGCGTCATTTACCAGTCACGGCGTTGGTCAAAATGACTTATTTTCGTTTGGGTTAACTCTTTGCAAAGCTCGGTGGACAAGCTCTTACTTGGATGCAAAACGACCATATTTACCACCCAATACTAGTAGTTGATTTACAGAAAAAAATGGTTGCATCAAATGGGATGTTGGTTACAAATTTTTCTCGTACCCGTGAATTGTTTCGTGTAACCGAAATGCCACGTCTGCTGTAAGGGATTGAAGCTAACTCTTTCAGAGTTAATCTGCAAGAGATGTGGTGTGATTGTGGTTTCTTTCAAGCACTCAAATATCCATGCTCTCATGTCATTGCAGCTTGCTCACGTTCATATTTGGACTACAAAAAATTATGTTGATCCCATATACCAACTTTCACAAGTATTCAGGGTATATGAATTTGAGTTTCCGCCCATAGGAAACGAAAGAGACCCAGATGAGATTCAAATTTGGCTTACAATTGTACCAGATCCATTACTTTTGAGGGACTCAGGTCGTCCAAAATCTACTAGAATACATTGTGATATGGATATTCGGGAGAAGTCAACAGAAGAAAAACGATGTGGGCATTGTAAAAACATCGGGCACAATAGAAAAAAATGTCCATCTCTGTTATCATCACATAACCGTTAACCCTTATGTAATTAATATTCTATTTAAATGAATGTTTTTGTTTCTAATATTTAAATGTAATTGCATTTTCTATAATTTCTCAATGTATGTACACCTAAAGATTTTTTTAAATTTTTATTTAAAATTATTTTATGATATTTATTTAATATAATAATTAATATTATTTATTATAAAATTTAATTATTAATTTTAAAATATTATAATAATTTCACCTTCTAAGTAGAGAAAAAGGTTAAATTAAACAAATTAAAAGTAAGACTAAATTGATAAAATATGTAACTATTGAAGATTAAATATGTAATTATACTAATTTTATTAACTTATGCATCAATATTTTCTTTAAATATTGATAACAAATTACTATATTGATAACATTTAAATAATTAAGTGATAAAATTAATAGATCAATAATCAAATAATAATAATAGATATATAACAATACGTGTTATATTATAATTTCATACATTTTTCATATAACTACAATAAGATCAAAGCTTGTTTTCATCTATTATTCCATCCGATTAATGTCGCGTGGAATGGGTGAATGCCAAAGTCCCTGAAACATATAATACTAAAACCTAAATTCGCTCCACCTTTAACACACATTTAAAAAATACATTCAATAATTCTTAAATTATAATCGAAACACTTTACATAATATATTAATTATTTATAATAATAGTAAAAATAAAATCTTTATTATTAAAAGAAATACCATCGTGGCATCTGATTCAGCATAACCCATATAAAGCGAATCCCCGGGGACGCGCCTTTCACACGTGGCATCCGACTCAGCATAAACCCAGGTAAAGCGCTTCCCCGGGGATGCGCCTTTGTGCTTCCTCAGCCGAAAGGGTGATACTTCGGGAAATATTGGTCAACGGGTGTTAGAACGGGATAAATTAAAAAAAATGGGTCAATTAGGTCAATTAGCCATACATATAAAGTTTATCATATAAACTGACATCATTTTAATAATTATTGTGTACTTTCATTTATTAAAGAGAATGTTATTTTTTTAAGTTTTAAGTTAGAACAATTGCGATTGTAAGATTTTTCTCTCTTGAGATATTGACTTCGAACAATTACGTTTGTAAGTTGTGCATTGTTAATGACTAAAAAAATATAATACATATATATTATCTTATAATTACCTTAAACTATTAAAAATGACAATGAAATTAATGATAATTAAAATATTAATGTCATTTACTAACACATGTCATAACAAGATTAAGTATTAATAAAACTAGGATATCTTTTTGGAGTGTCAAAATGAATTTATATATTTTGGAGGGGATAAAGTACATTTTCGTTGGATTAACTTTGTGTGGTTTCTTAAGGGGATAAAGGGCAATTTATCCTTTTAGGGGGTAAGAACAATACATGCCCATGTACTAGTTTGAGATTTTTTTTAAAGTTAAAAGTATTAGTTTAAGATAAAAAAATTCAAGTACCAATTTTAAAATATTACCAACTTCAAGTAATAATTTGTATTATTATTTTTTAATAGTACGGGGTTAGTATCTATTCAAAATATTACTTAACCATTTGACAATGGAAACATCCAAATGCAATTAATTATTAGAATCCATAACCTTTAGGAAGAATAACACTCAATTTATTTTTCTTCCACTTTGGTTAGGGTTTTCTGGATGCTCGGTTCCTACTGCCTCACGAGGTTAGTTGTACTAGTCCAAAAATAAAATAAAAAAGTTGCATTATTTATGGTGTTTTCATGTCATTTGGCAATGTCAAAACAAACATCATATCTTACAAGTAAAAGGCATTGGATGTGTCGAGTATCCAAACACTGCCCATCGGGGCCATTGCTACCACGTTCTGCTTCTGCAATTTTAACCCTTTTCAACCACCATAACCAATTCTAAACAAACACATTTCCACCGTTGCATGCCTTTTTAAGCTTTAAATCACCTCTGATAACTTTGCCCACGATGAAGGGGAATGTTTTTTTCCTTAAAGATTTTTGATTCGAATAGTTACAGTCTATAAATAAGTATATATTATCAATAAATTAAAAATATATAGGGAAAAATATTATCTTAAATTAACCTATTATTCAAAAATAAAACTGAAGGGATGAGCTATCGCCTATGGTTTTGAAATCGTACTCGGTGGGTGTTGGATAGGTTTAAACTTCGACAAATAGGATCGGCCCATTTAATATGCCCACCTCCATTCTTCATTAATTAATACACACATCTCACATATCAACAGTTTAATTAATTAATAAAATTAAAAACTAAGGTGGCCTTAGCATATAACACAGTTGATATGTTTTGTCTTCTCCTTTAATAATCGTGTGCGGCAACAACTTGCAGATAATGATACCCCAATCATGGAATTTAGAAGCCACAAAGTCAACAACCCGGAATTATTAAACTTAAAATATTCATTATTTACTTGCTTTGAACAAATTAATAAAGAAATGGACTTCTTCCTTTTTAATCTTGGGTAAACTATACTAATAGTCTCCTTTGTTTTTGGTTTTACAGAATTTGATTATCAATTTAAAAATTAATGGTACATGGTCCCTGACATTATCAATTCGTTCTAGTTTAGTCTCTAACGTTACCAATCCGTTCGATTTTATCCCCTCAGTCGTTAAATCCAATTCGATTTTGGTCCCTCAGCTATTTCACATATTCGTTAGGAGTTAACGGCGGAAGAACTTAAAACAAACAAATCGATAATGTTAGAGACTATTTATCCTTAATTTTTAAATTGGTGATCAAAATCAGACAGGCCCTAAACAAAAGGAACTATTAGCATAATTTACCCTTTAATTTTATAAATATGACCCAACGACTTATTCTTATGCAGACCCTTCACCAAGTCAATTAATTCTAATCAATTCCTTTTCTAATATATAACGGTGAATAGTTTATGTACATAAACTTTAATTAAAAATATGATGTTTTATGTATTTATTTCCATACTATCAATTCTATCTCAAATTACTAAATTTAAATAAATCTGCATTTTTTTTCAAAAATTATTCCGACCGCAAAAACAATTTGGAATCTGAGATATCAGTATTGGAAGACCTAGCTAGCTAGGGATTTGACTTGAACAAAATCGGTGAGCAATTGTTTATTTATTATTATTTTCTGTTAGTGGAGCTAGCTTTAGCTTGTTATATATCAATGGAAGCATTTTGAAAATTACGTGGCAAACATTCTATTTCGTTTTGAATTATTCCATTTTTCATTGACTAATTCTTTGCTATGATATCAAACGTCATAAGTTAACCATGCACCTTATGGTATCCAAGAATTTTTTTCTTCTTCTAAATCACACTGATATTATATCTGTTTGGAACGAGGGAAAATAAGAGAAAACCAAACCATAAACAATCTCCGTAGTTTCATTTTCCAGATAAACATTTATACATGTGTGTTTTTTTTTTAACTTGAAACCTCGTCCAAAAGCTTGTATCTTCGTACCTTGTTTCTGGAAACATGCCTTGTAATGTGCCCACCACTCGAAATCTCTTTTGACTTTCTTGTCCTAAGCTTCTCTTCCAAACGAGCGTTGCTTATGATCCTCTTTCGTGTCGTGCACGGAGGCCGTTTCTCCGGCGAGTTTGGTCCGTTGACAAATCGCAGCTTTAAGTTTTGGTTCCTTTGGGTGCCTTTAAAGCCTGAACCTCCATTGTTATAATCACACTTTCCCTTGTTCTTATCATCATCGTCTTCGTTGTTTTCTTTACACGATGGTGAAGAAGTAGAAGAATTCTGAGATTTTGAATCCATTTTTTGATTCAAACACCAATTGCAAACATCATAAGACTCGGCTTTGGGATACAGATTGCTGCAATATCTGCTACAAAAGAAACCAGAAACAAAATATGATCGTTTTTTCTAATTTAAAAAAAAAAATTGATCAAAGAAAACAAAACCCCAGAAAGAATAGATCTTGATTGTGGAGGGTATAAACTATAAAATGACCTGTGTTGATATCTGAAATGGCAAACTTTGCATTGCAAGAGCTCATGAGTTAGGCCAGAATCGCCACACATGCAACACTGGACCAGGCTTGATTGCTGTGATATAATTGGTGCACTCTTTTCCTTGTTTGCTGTCATTTTGTTTTGCAAGTCATATGAGACAGATGAAGGCATGGTTTTTATAAGGGGTAGTAAGAGAAAGACAGACGTCCACACAATCAAATAAAAGAAAAAAGCAACGTTTTGACGGGTTTTTATTTGCAATAATACAACAATGTATTATCACATTCGATGTCGCGTGCGCGAAAAGTAATATAACTACAAAACATCTTGTTAAAGGTAAGAGTAACTAAATTCTCTACCACATGAAGAAAAGAATCACCCGCTGGAAAGAAAAAAAACACTAAATCATTATAAGGAAAAAGAAAGGGAGGGTTGGGATTTTTGTGGTTTTTAGGCAAAGAATCAAAGGATGGTAGTAAACAATACCTGTTGTATTTGGACAGCTAATTTGATCTGGGAATCAAATTAGACAAAGATATGTCCATTGTGGCAATTGATTTTTCCCTTAATAAATAAAATTATATGTGATGGCAGCTTTGATTAGTTAGCATCAATTGCCCCATATAAGGAAAGCACTAGAGAATGGGGTAGTTTAGAGCACTGTAATTTTGTGAGTTGATCTATAGCTAAATAGTTACAAGTTACAACCACTCATCGTATTTATTAGCACTTCTATTTTCCCCATTTTTAAGGTTTAAAGTGGAAATTGCTGACCATTGAAAATGAGGCATCATTTGTATTTAAATTACACATTTGAGATGGTTGAGAATGTTGATTCACTGGAAAATATTAATGGGCGTTTGTTAATATGATTCTGTAAATGAAAAATATAAGTTCAAAGAAAAATGCACTTGTATGTTGATTAATATGATTTCCCAAGTTTTTTTTTCTTTTATTAATTACAACCACAATACTTGATCAGTATATTACTATATAAAGAACCAATAAGACCAATCCTTTTGACTTTGACAAACATTTATTAGTTTATGGCCGCAGAAGCCCACCATGGTCCGATAATATATTTTCTTTATAACCAATTTCCAATGAAGACGGCTGTCATGTAGAGTAGATGGGGTTTCCCTTTAAATTATACACAGCATTTCACAAAACAAGCGAGCTTGGCCGCCTACATCTTCGGTTCCCCAGAATTCAAGAAAGTGATATATATATATATATATATATATATACACCGCTGTTTGATCATTTATAGCATGCGATGGTTTGAGAGAATTAAGTGCAGACTGATTCTCAAACTCCCTATTGTTGAATGGAAATCATCCTGATTCAGCAAATAAGATTCTTTCTGGACTTAATGACTTCTTAACAACATTTACACCAATATGACACAAACCATCTTCTCATTCTTCCACTATTTCCAACACCATCTCCAACAATGTACAAATAAACTTGAATGTTTGTTCTTCGGGATAAGACGGAAAGGGAATGCAACATTGAAAGCAAGAACATCTACATCATTAACACTGTCTGAGATGGCTTACAATTGATTTAGAGGGGGCTTCTTGTAGTTCTAGACAACCTTGTTGTAAGCTTTGTTTATGGCAAATCCCCAAAAGCTTGATCTACCTCCTCTTCTCTCTTTTCCTACATGATTTTGCACACTGCTGTCTGCACGACAAAAACTGAAACTACCAAAGAAAAAAAAAGATGGTGATCGTTGATACAGATTTGCTCAACAGAGTATTAGTTTAGCCCGGGACTAAACTCGAGCAAAAAAATACAAAACCGCCAACACTGGAAATATGATAAGGAAATGGGTCACCACAACAAGATATCCATTTCAACGTCAATAAATCTTGTGTCTCAACTAGTGACATATACATCACATTTGCAGAAGAGTAAAATCCATAAAATGATCATTAGTATCCGGGTCAAACTTCATTCAACAAATGAAATTACAAGAAAAGACCCAGTATACGGTTTCCAATACCTTAAATTAACTGGCAAATATTTGAGAGAAAAACGTGTGCAATGAAAGATTGGTTTGCTACCGGCTTGGTTTTAAAAAGCGTAAAGCGCCTAGGGTCCTAGACGCCGAAGCGCCAAGCGAAAGCGATCGCTTTATGCACACGAAGCGCTAGAAAGGCCAAAATTCACAAAAAAAATACAGAATATTTATAAAATATCTTATAAATACTTAAATATCAAAGTGTCAATGCATATATTCAAAACTTATAAGTACTTAAACACCAAAATATAATTCTCAATTTACTTATAAGTTATAAACACTTAAATACTTATATACCATTAACCATACGACTATACGAGCATATTAATCTCAAAAGATGGTCTACACCAAAAGTAGTCTAAAGTGAGATGAACAAAAGTATTTTTCTAAACCCTCAATTCCTTACAACTAAAAATCCTCTAAATCGTCATCGTCATCAACTTGGACAACACCATCTCCTTCATCACTAGACACTCCAATATCTTCTTCCATCTCATCTTCATCAACTAAGCATCTACGAGATGGTCTACTAGAGATAGGATTATGAGCAGGAGATTTTCCTTTATCATTTCGCGATGGTCCGGCTCCATCATTCACTACTTTTGATGCTCTAGTTAGATAACTAGGCTCATATGCACCGGAAGCGTTAGCAACATCACTCCATGTCAAATCCTCACCAACAAACACCGCCTCATCATCATTTTCCATTCTTCCCATGAACCACTCATTGCTCTTATCAATATCTTGCAAAAGAATGGGATCGGTCTCCTTACTTTTAGCTCGACGCTCCAAGGGACGATTGAATTTCACAAACACCATGTCATTCAATCTAGATTGTGCCAATCTATTTCGTTTCTTAGTGTGAAGCTACAAGAAAAAAACCAAAACTGGATGTTAGCAACATTATGCATATATATATATATAAATTCCAGCAATATTATTCAGAAAAAACATGTAAAAATAACTTGTTGAAAAACACTCCAGTTTCTCTCACAACTTGTAGCACTACAAGTGAGACTAAGAATTTGTATAGCAAACTTTTTCAAGTTAGGAACCGAAGATCCATACAACTCTGTGAATTTTTTACCGCTCAACCTCAATCGTTCTCTGTAAATTCTTCGATTACCGCCTATTTCAATCGCATTTTTTACCCTAGCCCGCCTAAACTAAAAGCCGATCTAAGCCTAATAATTTAATAGCTCGCTAAACCCTAAACAAGCCCAAAAACCATATCTGCTAAAGCCCAGAATTGTATCTTCTAAACTCGCGATTAAGCGCCGATTAGCGCTTTGCTAAAAGCGCTGCAAAAGCGCCGATTACTACCTCTTAATGAATTCGTAGTGCTTTTTCTATGCTGAAGCGCCAGGGGCCTCGCTCGAGTCGCTTAGCGCTTTAATTGCGCTTAAGCGGCGCTTTTTTAAACACAGGCTACCGGTGCATATTTTTATAAGAACTAAGAAGCAGACTAGCTCTGGCCACACTCAAATGGTTCAGAAAACCCATCATTCCGAAAACCTTCCAAAACTTCATAGGACCTGCAAAAATAACAGAAGGAAACTTGATCCAAGAAGCATGACTATAAGAGTTAAGAAAATAACCAAATAGATGTTTTACAAACAACAATCAACATTAAAAAATAATGAACATGTCTAAATTGGAAGTTCCAAACTATACCTAAATTAAAGTCATGCCTAATCCTACCTTCCTATGGACTTTTTCTTTTGAAAACAACTTTTTGATGGTGATGCGGCTTTTGTAAATAAGTTTTTGTGATGGCAATTTCAACTTTCAAGAAACAATGACGATGGTTTGAAAGACATGGTAAAGTTATACATACAATCTACACTTTTGTCAAACATGCCTTGTAAACTAAGAGATGTAGATCCTCAACAACGACAAGAAGACCAATATCTGTTAGCTGAAAGTTCAGCTTCGTGAAGTTAGTTTGCTACCCAGTGAACCTCGGTTGAAATCTGATGATACACGTGCTAAATCCCAAGAATCAAAATCATGCTTCCTAAAAATAGTTAATTGTGCCTAATACTACCAAGTGACCCCCTCAGTTAAATTCTGACGACAAGTCCTGTAAAATTCCAAGGACTAAAACAATTTCAATAAACATAAGAGTTTGACCAATTTTGAACCTGATGTTTTGAACCATTATAGCACTGAATAATATCAAGAGAGAACACTTATGGCACAAAGCAGCCTAGAGTCCCGAGAAACTAAAGCAGAAAAAATAAATCATTGTTGAGACTCGTAGCCTTATAAGAACTGAACAGAACAGACTAGTTGAATAATCGTTTAATATAAGGATCTAAAATTTCATCTATAGGAAATTCAAATTATAAAACAATAGTAGATAAGTTCATTCTGTGGAACAAATATCCTCCAACAAGACCACCTATTGACAGAAAAGACAGTTGACGTTTGCCCAGCTGGGGGTGCTGCAGGGACAAAAGGGGGATTACATATTCTGGGGTCAGATATTTGAGAATGAAAAATATTTGGGGAAAACAATCTTACTGAAGTTCATAAAACTATACAATATGTGTTTCCACCTGTGCAGAAGGAACCTTGCATGACAATTAATAAATGATCAATCAGAACAGGACACGAGAGAAACAGAAAAGAGAATACAACGAAGCACGTCTATAATTATCTCATCAGATGCATGTTCCAATTTAAAAACACAACAAATATCACCATAATCCTTACGAGAAAGGTTCACGATAACGACATAATTTGCGTTGATTACTTTCCATGGCCTCTAATGCATTTGCAGCTTCTGGCCCTGCTGACCCACCAGCAACCATTGATGGAACAACAGCAGTTGGAGACCACAGCTAAATGGCAGACCATCTAAAATTAGAAGGTTATCTTGAATACTGCATGTAACTGAACTCTTCCCATACACCTGATGCTCACCTTTATCAAGTTGTCAATTCCACTGGTTGCCACAAAGCAATCAAATGGCACTGAACACAGTTTACGACTGCAGAGGGCAAGAAGAGCTATTTTTTAGTGAATAAGAAACATAAGGTGATGGCAAAGCCCACCATCTGCAGGGCATTTTTATCAGAGAAATATTACCAGAATCATCTCCTAGAAGTATTTTTATCAATCTACCTGTCTGCTTTTCCCAAATAAACCACCTTCCATCATCA